GGGGGAGTAGAAATACTCCTAGTCGCTTCATGCTACAGAAACCGGGATAAGCTCCGGCCTGATGGGCCACTTGGCTCGCATGCAGACTTTACCTTTAACCTCTACTTACATTTCAAAACCAAAACACTGTCAAGGTGACTGGTACCAAGAATTAAGGTAAATCATCAACTAAAATATTAACAACATGCAAAACCACCAGGTTCTCAGACTTGACACTAAACATGACGGTCTGTCACAGGGTTAAATATGTTGAGCTTACCGTCGTTTGATATGGAGCAGTGCTGTATATAGTTGTTGGAGTTTGATCTGTAGCGATCATTGAAGGGTGAAGGTGGGCAGCTGTGGAAAGAATCACAAAAATGTTGTAACTAAAACTAAATAAATAAATTACAATATTTAGAGAGGAGGCAACATCAGCCTTAGCTGGTTTTCATACAAGTCCTGCATGTATATCCTGGTCAAAATGGAATTTGGAGATGTTGGTTTTTGTGAAGGGAGGAAAACCAGAGAACCCAGAGAAAAACCCTCTGAGCAAGGCAAGAACCAACAACAAACTCAACCCACATACATGTATGGCACTGGGCCAGAATCAAACCTGGGCCACACTGGTGGAGGGTGAGCGCTCTCACCACTGCACCATCCCTGCTCCCCATTATTGCTGGGGAGTAATGGCCATTAATTCTTAGTAGCTGACTGTAGTTACAGGGCTATCATAAAATTTTGATTCACCTGTAGCCTTCATCTTCACACCCATAACAAACTTGTTACTTAGGGTGAACTGGATGATCAACAAAAGGTAATAATTATTTCACCTGTAACATCAACAACCCATCAAACATACTCAGCTGTAAAAGGTGTTACGGGTCACGACCATAGAATTTTGATTTCAGTTTACACTCTACAGATGTCTGAGCAAATATTGTAAATAATCACAACTGTAGGAACATGTACATGTAAGTCTTGGTTTAAAATGCATAATTACATATACATGTATAGTGAAATCCTGATTTTTTGAACCTCCAAGGGAAATGAAAATTGGTTTGAATAATCGCACAGTTTGAGAAATCAGGGTAAAATTACAGTGTTGGACTGAGGAGAGGGAACAACTTTTGGTTCGAGTTATCAGGAGGTTCGAAAATATGAGATTTCGAGAAATCAGGATTCCACTGTACTTTAACATAATAAGAGCCATTTACCAGCTGCAACTTGGAACTGATGGACAGTATGTTCATCTTCTTCCATCTCGCCTTCTCTTCCTTCCGACACAAGAGCTGATTTTTCTCCTTTGATTGACTGTGAACAAGAATAGCAATTTGTTATGACTATACTGCTACTCAGTCAAGCCTACTCACATTATACACAATGACTTTCAACCATTTGATATGATTTACAAAGTACCACATCCATGTATGCGATAGCAATTACACTAATTAAAATAAAATTATCTTCTTTGCCTTTTATACACTAACAGGTCAAAACTAAAGCTAATGAATTCTATTGATAATTGCAATTCCCTCTCACAGAAGTTCATTTTTACTGAATTTTACAAACAGCATTTCAAAGTTTGTGTTTAATTTGTCCTGGTCAAAGTTGCGTCTAGTGCTGATTTAAATCATTTACAATGCCAGCGAAAATATGGAACAACTTGTTAATGTCACCAAGTGAAGAATGCAATGGAAAAGGTTATTTATCCTAAAAGTAAATGTGTGAAATAAAATAAATTAATTGAGACTAACAATAAAAATAACTGGTTGGTGTCAATTCAGCATAAATTATTCTTTCCGTTGCATTTTTCACTAGATTATGGTGCCAAGTTGATACTGAAATGCTGTTCTGTATTTTTGCTGATTTCTATAATCAACTGTATTTCCAAATTGAATCTTGTTACAATGTCAAGTTTGTAAAACAACTATCAGCCTTACTTGAGTTCATCAAAAAACTGACTGACAAGTTGACCAATTCCTTATAAACAAAAAGTTCATTGTACAGGTAGCTTCTTTTCATAGTAAAGCTCACTCTCACTTACCTCTCTGTACTTTTGCAAGTAGAGTTTCAAAGGTTCTACATAGGTGTCAAACCCTAACGTCTGCATGGCAAAAAGAATGTCTTCCCCATTGATTGTCTTACGTTTTTCTTGGTGACATCTTTCACTTGCCCTGAAGATGAAGTCAAGGACTCTAACGGCTTTTCAAAATTCATTATCACTTTGTAAGAGTGCTACAGATTAAAAGAAAAAAAAACATTGACCAGCAGATATTTTGGGTTCAGCATTACTGATCTGAAGCTTGATAGTCCAGTGTCACCCCAACAGTTCGAGGACTGGTTATTACTATTATTATTATTATTATTATTATTATTATTATTATTATTATTATTATAATGCCTGACAGTCACAGTAGTCACTGTATCCTATGTTCTTCATCAAGTCACCTTCTTCTTGCAGCACATATTTCCACAATGAGGAAACCAGTTAACATTTAACATTTTGCTTGAACACAGCACTTACATATATGAACTAAAGCCTATGTATTGCGACTTGCAGAGAGTCATCCCCTCACTGTTACCAGTAGATATTAACGTACTGTAATCAAGTGTTTACGTTTTTGACTGGTCAAGAGATCTTTCCCCATGTTAAAATTACATTTTACTTCTAGTTCAATTGAACCCTGCTATTTCGAACTCTTAGGGGAAATCAAAAATAGTTTGAAATAGTGGGAGTTCGAAGAAGTCAATTCTGAAAGGCAATTCCATTTGGGAAATAATTTTGACTACCAAGTAACAGCGAAATCAAAATATCAAGTTTGAAATAGTAGGGTCCAACTGTACTACATTGAACAAATCGCAATACAGAATTATGTAGTGTTGCTATCAAAGGATACTCGCTAGTAATGAAGCTGATGAATTCTGACACACACTCCTGGACACATTCTTTGGCATCTTTTGCAATCTACAATGAAAGGATCAATTCAAAACAAGATGATTAAAATTACCAGCCTGTCAAGAGCTTCTGAAAGACTTAGTTTGCTGACAATGGTTGCATACCTTGCCTGTCTTTGGAATTGATTTCTTCATTATTCTAGCCACATTTGCAATTGGCAAGAATCGATCCTAATGAGAAAAATTACAGAAATAAGGCAATGCAAATTAAGATAGAAACTGGTTGACAGTTGCTGGAGTTTCAGCTTGAAACGATCATAATAATACAATGAACATGTTTGCTTGAGAGACGGAAGAAAAACTAAGATACGAGAAGCACCCTCGCTCAATGGCTTTACCTGTTCTCTGAGAATATCATCTCGCTCTTTTTCATCACCATCCACATCACCATGTACTCCAGCATCTTCGCTTCCTGTTAAAAATTACAAAAGTATAACTATTAAAAAACTAATAAAAATAAAAATAATATAGAAAATTATTTCCTCAGATATTATTACCAATATCTGAGGAAAGTCCCCAAACATGAGAACCTTGAGTTTGCTTTGCAGCTGTAACCAGTCTGAATAACCAATAGCGTTTGGCTCAGGTTTTCACTGAGTGGATAGTAAGTTGCTCTACTATTTTTAGAAGGAAAAAGGCAGCAATGGCAATCCTATTGTAGTGAAGTTGTACTTCTGAACACTTTGAAGCACTTTTAGTTTATGACTCACAAATTACAGGGTATTTTTATCGTCATTTACAGTATGTAGACATCAACAGAAGCAATCGCTATAAAACTTATTTGAAGTATAACACAAGCTTTGCCTCAAAGTAATATCTTTCAGTTCATTCTCTAAATTTTTAACAAGATCAACCCAATTCATTTTCATTTCAGTCTACATCTACATGTACATGTACAGTAGGGAAGTAAATCTGATCCTAAATAACCTTTACACAAAATAATCATGTAACCACTCTTGACATGTCTTGATTTCTCAGAGCAAAACCAATAAAACCAACTAAAAACAGAATTTTAATCTCAAAAACCAGAGATGAACTGTTCTTCAAATCAGAGACGAGTTTCCTGACAAGATTGCACACACAATGAAGGCCACAAAAAGTACTCTTGAAAATGATTGGGAAGTGCTGGAGATTTGCCACCACCATTGGACAGACAGGAAATTTTCTTATTTCAGAGAATAACCCTTTAGAACATAAACTCCATTAGAAGATGATTGGAAGTGTGGAAAAGGTTTCTTGAATTATTGGTGTACCTTGACAAATTCATCAAACAGAACAGCCAATCAAGAAGGTCTTGATTCACCTTGCAACACAAAAATCCTAAATTGTATCAAACCAACAACCCACCAGAAAGAAAAGCAACACCAACCTTTCGGAAATGGAAATGGGTTGAATGCCGGGGGGAAGTTTGGATCAAACGGCATCAGTGGATAGCCGGCGCCATATCCCATGTTCATGTTCATTGCTGATTTTCAAATATGTTTACTTTCCTTTTTGCTTTGAAAATTTAATAAAGCGATCCTAATTACTCAATTAGGGACACGACAAGTTGTATCAAGAAGATTTACCTGATGAAAACAAATTAGTACTTATCAAGAAGGCTTTTGATTGGACAGTCCCCGATGAAATGCACTAATTTCTGCCCTGATTTATTATCTTTCGTATGTGATATATTATTCACGCCACTGCAGGACATAAAAGTGATAATTTGGCACACAAAGCCCTTACATAAACTTCTAAAACGTATTGAGCTCATTTGAAAATTCTTGTTCAAATTAACAGGCTTGCCAAACTAGAGGAGTATCCAGGTTTAACTAGTCTGAGAATTTTCCTCTTGTACGGTAGATGTACAAATAATAATTATTACTAAAACAGCGAGTACACTAACAAAGATCACAAATATTTGTTTAATTTATTCTGGGAGAAAAAAAAAATCATACAAGGAAAAAATTACTACTGACACAAAAGAAAGAAATTAAATTTTCATAAGAGCATAATAGTGCACCACAGAAAAGGCAATTAATTATTAATAATACAAAAAACACTCAAAAATATAAAAATAGCTTTACTTGCAGTTAAAGAAAGAAAGAAATAATAATAATAATAAGCCAGGTTAAATGCAATACAAAGTGTTTAAATTCGAACTACCTATATTATTTTATAAAATCAGCTGCCAGAAAAAAAAAAAAAAAAAAAAATGAAATCCATGAGGATAATGTTGCCATATGATACTTTAATTCTTGAAAATATCACAAAATATGATAAATATTTTGGTAAAGTAAACATTGTCAGCATTTTTTTAAAACTTACACAGCTGACATCTGTGAATACATACACATACAATCTTTTATTAATATTCAATACACTGTACATGTGAACTATTAAAATCTTGTCCGAGTTGTTTTCAACCACCTCTGTGTGAGGAAATTCTTATCACAATTTCAGCAGGTTTAATGTGAATGTCTACAGCTGTTACCAGGAAATTTTATGCAGTACATTTTTGTGGTATCTTTCATGGTTTGCTTTGACCAAATTACATACTTAGTGATTTGTTTTACAAAAAAAATGTTCGTACATGAACACAAAAAGACATGACTTTTGTGCTACATGTACACATAGCTTAGCTGTATACATGTATCAAAGAATGTGCAGGTGTAATCATTCCATGGAATTTTGATTTCAAAAGGTTGGCACCCACCTCATAGACTGGATTCTCTAACTACGTGTACACGTAGTTAGGGCCACTTACATTTAATCCTTAAGCATACAGGTGAAAGACCTAGCAAGAATACCGCGAGATCCCACGTTAAAGCCTCCCTGGTTATAAACCCTTCTATTTGCTCACAAAGATGTTATTCCAGATACTGTAGAACCACCACCTCCCCGGATATAAGCCCATCTAACATACAAGACGTGTTCCTTTTGTGTTTTCTTTACAAACATCAAAATTCTTCATCGTAAGTTATAGGCTAATAATGTAATGGTATGATAGCTTTAATTCGTTTCTCAGATATGTTTCATGTCGTCATTCTGAAACATTTTTCTTACTCTGCTTACATGCCGCCGCCCCCCCCATTTATAAGCCCACCCAAAACCCCTTATGATTTTATACAAGCCCAGGGCTTTAACCTGGGATTTTACGTTATTCTTGGTTTTCATATGACATAGTCATATTCCAAAATTTGAAATTATATTTCCTTCTGAGGTTTTAGTTTCATCAGATAAAAGACCCTATAGGAAGTCTTCTTGCAGTCTGCAAATGTCATACACGGGGCATATAAATGGGTACCAGCTAATTTTATTAATGCTAGGTAACTTTGAAAGCATTAATTAAATTTTGACACATTATATAAGGAACAGGAGAATCCCGCATTTGTTGTGGAGAAAAACATGCATGCACACTTCTAACAGAACTGTACAAATGTACTCGCATGAATAATTAAGTCTGTAAGCTAATTGCTTCCCCCGTGAATTGTGACCTCAATGCTTGACCTTGTGAAGAAATGAATTTAATAGTGTTCAACCTGGCATCTCAATCAACTTCCTGAAATATTGCATCCTCTGCCCAGAATAGTGTGGCGGCAAATCAACGGACATAGAAACAACCAGTTTATCTAGTACTTAACAATGACAAAAATGTGCTTTCAGATTTAACGGGAGGGCTGGAAGATCGAAACTCGATTATTAAAAGCAAGGAAGTTATAAAGATAAGCTAAAATTCATGTATCGGCCTCTATTTCTCGATGTAGCTTGGGAGATCAATAAGGGATTCCAAAATGAAACAGAAATTTAACTTACTTCTTTACTTTTAACGTTATTTTTAAACACGCCTTCACGAATAAAGGCATGCGGTGGAAGAAATTGGCATTGTGCGTAATCCACACGACAGCGTTAAGAAATCTACAAGTTTTCAAGGCTCTTAATTACATTAACTAACATATAAAAATAATTACTTAGTAAAATGGGAAAGCAAATAACCAAATACTTCTCCTACCCTCGTGGTCGTCATGTTGAATGACATACTGAGGAGGAAGAGGCCCCGGTAAACCGTAATCTGCGGGCATGGCGGTGACCACAGTATGACTGTGTGTTCCATCGTCTGCCCGCTCTACCGCCGTAGCAGCGCTGGCTAAACTTCCAACATCATCTGTAGAAGGAACAACAGCGACCTGAACCCCTCCAGGAACGTTAGAAATGGAGAGGTGGCCACGATCGTCCGCAAGTCCAACGTGTGTTTCGTTTTGTACCTCCGGTCGGTTTTCGATAACTTGTTGCACACCCCGGATGCCAACTTGCTCAGTGCCATGGCCATTTGGAACTGTACTTCCCTGGGTGTAAGGCGCTAGTCCTGCCTGTGGATAGCTGGGCTGACCGCTGTCTGGAGGCTGGGAGCTCAGTCCATCTGTGTTTTCATTCCTGGCCTCCTCGACACCTTCCATCTGCCAGCTAAAGCCATATTCAAAACAAGAAAGCAGAATTTAGACGTGAATTCTGCGCTAAGTGGGTTCAAACCTGTGCTTTCAAAACAAAATAGTGCCCAAGGGGGCTTTTGACTTCAAAAACCGCCCGGAAAACATGATGTAAACAACTTTCGAGACAAATTTGAGCGACAAATCGCGACCGCAAGACTCGAGCGATAAATCTTCGAAACGCTTCGAAAACTTCAAGTCGAAAACGTGGAATCTCAATAGCAAGAAATATAATTGGTGGAGGGCGTGAAGGTAAAACAAACCTTTCTCGATTTTTTGTTGGCTAGCCGGTGTTTCGTTTGAGTTAGAGCAGCCAACGAAAACGCGAGTTACAGAAGGCACACGAGTGGCTGGTCGTCCGCCTTCTTCACCACTCACAAACGAGCTCCAAGAGCACAACTTCCACACGCAGTGATCACACGTCAATCAATGCGTCCAGCTGTCACAAGGAACCAATCACAGTTGGGAAGACACAAACCATTGTTACTTTTATCCAATAGAAACGCATCTCGAAATATAACGCTGGCTTACTTTGCATAAATTACTTTCTCTTTGTTTGCGTCTGTTCGAATTTCTTGCTAAAATTTCCTATTTTTCGGCTGGAAAAATATGAAGAAATGTCTGAAAATTCGTCTGTTCCTAAAGAAATGGCGAAATGTCCTGAAGCCATAGGAAATACGCTTGAAAATGTTGTTTCTTCTCCCACTACTTCCCAACTTGTTTCTTTATTTTACCGCCAATAAATTATGCATGACGGTTCGAAGTAACATCTGAAAATATAACTTGAGCTTGAAAGACAACTGCTAGAAAATTTTGCTTCTTATTTTCGTGTTTTAATTCTTAAACCACTGCAAAAAGTATACCTTCGAACATTTTATTTATATTTTTAGCCTTTTTATAAATTTCCGTTTAAAAACTGAAACAAAATTTGCACAGCTGAACTTATTCACCTGTCAGAAAGTCCAAAACATATTATTCACGGTATTCAATGATGGGTGTGATCTTTTGAATTGACCCCCTAGGCTACGAAACCGTTTTTTAAACTAATATACATTCTGTAAAATATCGAAAATGTATTACTTCCTGAAAAATGGGGAATAGTCAACGTTATTATATAAACGTGAGGATATCTTTATTATGAATAAGATTATTTTCAAAACTAAATTTTAATATTACCTGACCTTGACGCAAAAGTAAATACTTCCTGTTTACCAAGGTTACAGTAGATTTTAAAATTTTGTAAGTTCGACATTGTTTGTTTTTTACCACTTTATTTTATCATTATTTTGACCCTGATTTATCGAGATACCAAAATTCTAAATTATATCTATTGATTTTAAATCTATTAGGTATTTTGTCATTTACTTTTGAATTTGTTGAAAGCAAAGTTTCTATTTTGAAAAGCTCTGAGGACATAGGACATTGTGTGGTGTATTAGACCCCTAGAGGTTTTCAGGATACTTAGGTAAAAAAATCAACAGTACACAAGACATTTGGGAGAAATAATTAATGGGATAAGGAAAATTTTGATCACATAAAACGGGATATCAAGTAGGAAATGGTGAATTTTCGCAACTGAAATTAATGGAATACAGGATATTATGGGATGTGGAATACTCAGACCACCCTCCATCCCAAGAAGACCCCAGGGGCCACTGGCACAGTGTGATTTAGAGAAATAGCTGGAAAGTTTTAGACTGTGCACTACTCAACAACAGGTCTTGACACATCTTTTGAAGACTTATAGATGCTGAGACTAGGATGGGTAAGGGTGAGGACAGGTTGCTAACAAAATTCCAGTGACCAGACTGTTACTGCATTACAAAGGAGAGTGGCTGTTTATTCAGAGCTTTTAAGTCAAAACGTCAACAGCAGAATTCTCCATTTTGTACATTTACATTATCCTTTGGGAGAATTTGGATCTCGTGATGCATGGCATTGCCTACAAAGGCAAAGGAAACTTTAAAAACCACAGTCAACTAGGGACAAATTGACCAACAAGGTAACTACATACCAAAAAACTTGCCTTTGGGTGGTTATTTTTTAACACACACACACAAAAGCGTCAGCCATCTACTCACACGTTACCCCCCAAGGGATGAAGGCCAGGACTTCTGATAAGTGCATGATATTACATGATGACATCATAAAACTGGAACTGTTCAGACATCTTTCTTGCCTGGGCCCTTTGGGAGTTAAGTATGAGACAACAGCTGACAATTCGGACTAAATAATTTTGAAATAAAAGGTTGTTTCTCCACAGAGCTAATAATAGATTGATAAATATTAAATATTACTGTCAAGTATAAACTAAAAAGTAAGCAAGAAAAATTTTCTTGCTTACTTTATTTTGCTCCACCAAAATAAAGCAAAAAAACAATAATGTTTCTCTATTGCAATGATTTTCTTCTGATGCAATAAAAAATTTGGGATTACACATTTGTATCAATGGCCATTCATCTTTGAAAGATACGCCAAGTTGAAACTACTAATATAAATCATACCAATATTAAAACAGCAGTGTATGCTAGACGATATCTCAAGGAGCTTCAGTATCAAAGCATATTTTGATCATAACTGCACTGTTTGTTTGGAAGCCTTTACAAGACAAAACAAAAAAAGTGTATGATGCAACCACATTGCACATAATAGCACAGTGTGGAAATGTAATTTAATTATTACTTTGGGTAGAAAACCTGAATAGCAAATAGCGAATAGTCACAAATAGCGAATAGTGAACAGTCCCGAATAGTGCCAATAGTCTTGAATAGTGCAAATAGTGGTGAACAGTCATGAAAAGTGGCTAATAGTGACGAATAGTCGTCAATAGTCACCACTTTAGATCTAATATCCTGTGTTAATTAATTACCCAAATAAGCAAC